ATGTAGGATGCTGTTTGAATAATAAAACGTTTTCACCTGCACCCAGTCTACGTTGGCATTTTGTGCACCGCTGTTTTTCCATTGCAAACCTCATTGTCACTTATTAGATAAGGTATATGCTTGATGACCATGACAGTAGACGGTACATATGTACGTTTTTTGTTGCACAAAACAGACAGCCAGGGTGAATTATTGTCTCATCTCATACGGTTGCTGAATATCTTTTAAGGCGGGGAGGGGAGGGGAGGGGGGAAGAGGTGAGAAAGTTCAAAAAATGCATGAATTAGCATGCCCACAAAAACCTTTCATGCAAAACTTCTTCAACACACTATTGGGTTGTAACAGAAAAAATTGGGAAAGGATGACTTGGCATGTAAGAACAATTCATTTGCAATATAAAAGCCACCTTCAAAATTTTCGCGACCCATCGTTTGGAAGGAGGTGAGGCAGCGATTAGAAGTGAGCTGACACTAAGTAGATAGAAGGATAAAACTAAGTACCAGACAGGCAGAATTAGAAGCAGAGAGGGTAGGGGAACGAAGGCCGCCAGTTTGAGCCGCCCTTCACGAACAACTGGTCCTTTTGCAATATTGTTGCATGTCGTTTCAGGACCTGAAGTCCGCGAATGCCGCCCAACTGGCGGGCTTCGTTCCCCTGTCCGGAGCAGAGATGTTGAGCAGACATAAATAATGCTGCTTACTCTAGGAATCAGGAGTCATATAAGTGCGAAACTTCTTCTGCCCGTAGTAGGGGTCTTCCTCTGCTTTTGCACTCTTCAAAAGTCTTTATTTGTTGAACACTGGGTATTGCTTAACTGCATATACTGTGGAGATAGACTCTAGTTAGCCGTGAACTGAAAGATAACTCCTCCTTTAGGTAACTGGAACACCCGCTTTGCTTGGCTGTTTTCGGTATACCGTGAGGGGGCTTACCACTCCGTCTTCTACACAACATTCCTGTCTCTGTCCCACTTCTACATACCAGCCCGCTTTCGTGATCAGCATGCATCTCCCCTTACCAATTCCCCATAATTCCCCTACAGCAACTCAAAGCTTAAAAATCATGACTTATAATAACGGGCTAAGGCTGTTTACGTGACTTTGTGTGTGTGTTTGTGTGTCTGTTACGAAATTCGTGGAGCGTGTTCCAGCAAACGTCCTGGGCCCAAATTTTGCACAGCACATGCTACCAGCACAAAACTCCACCATGCAAAAGCATGAGCGGATTCGTTGAGTGGATCCCTCAGAAATTGCGCGCCAAACGGGTCCACCCGGTTTCTGTACCGCAAAATACGGTCCGTATCACCTCTTTTTGCAGAGTCGTGGATGAGTTTGGTAAGCAAATGTGCAAGCGATGGAGTTTAGGCAGAAAAGTGGTCGAAAATTTACTACATAACGAAAACGGCGCCAAAACGAAATGGCTGTGTAAATGGTCAATTTGCCGGCGTTCTAGCTAAGCGTTTGAGAAAATTTCCGCACAGAGATGTAGCTCACGGTTATCATTACCTTTATGGCGACTACCAAGTCATGACAAATCCAAAAACCTATTCAAATTGGCGTTTGTCTTCCTGCGAAAAGTTTCATACACGCGAAATCACCGATTTCACGTGAAAAGACTTTCTAAATGAGTGGTTGTTTACATTTTATTCGTGGTAGTCGACATAGCGCAGTGAGTTCCAGTGCCACGATTTTACGAGAATGAGTAAGGCACATAGATAGTAGAGCCAGTGCAAACCTCTGCGAAGCAGAGGTGACGCAGTGGTTGATAAATACAATCGAGTTTGTGTAGATGCTGCTTTCTTGATCAGTACGCTCACTTCCCCTCGCCCACACCAAGTCGCAGCGTCTCAGCTCGAAAAATATGCATAAAATTGATAAAGTCTATAAAAGTAGCAATTTCGAAACGATTGTCTGAAGTAACCAGCGTGCATAATCACTTTAACCTGTGCAAACTCCCACCCCCTAGTAGAAAGCTTGCTGAAATATAGGTGAACGAGCTGGCATCCCGGGTTCCACCCCGTTCTAGAGGCAGTCCATGGTGCTTGATCTCTCATGTAGCGAAATTTACTCTTCTTTTGATTCCGACTCGTCTCGGGTTCGCTTCCCACCGTTTTTTATTATATCCTGATGACCAGCAGATCAAAATGAGCTTCACCGCTCATCCTTCATGACTATGGGTAATGTGTATATACACACAGACAGATTTTCTGCTTCAATATATACCAGTGCGTTACCTCTGCTTCGCAGAGGCTCGCACTGGCCCTACTTTCTCTATGCCTTAATCATTCCAACATGATAATGACATTAAAACGCACCGCGCTATGTAGGCTATCACGAATGATTCGTAAACAACTACCCATTCCTAGAGGTTTTGGTGTGAGATCGGTATTTTCGCGTAGATGAGATTTTTCCCAAAAGAACAGATGCATATTTGACTAGATTTTTGGAATTTTTATGGCTTGGCAGTCGCCAAAAGAACAATGAAAATCGTGGACTACATCTCTGTGCAGGAATTTTCTCAGATAATCGAGTAAAATCTTGGCCAACTGAACATTTACGCAACTAACTCTTTTTGGCGCCATTTTCGTAAAGTAGCCAAGTTTGGTTCAGTTTTCTGGGCTAAAGTTCTCGGTTTCCACATTAGCTTGTCAAACATATCCAAGACATCGCAAAAAATGGTAGTACAGGCCCAGTTTTGCTGGTCAGAAGCCAGGTGGATCCGTTTGACGCGCAATTTTCAAGAGATCCACTCAGCGGATCCGCTCATGCTTTTGCATAGTGCACTTTCATAATGTTAGCTTGCGCCATGCAAAATTTGGGCTCAAGAAATTCGCTGGAACTCGCCCTACGAATTTCGTAACGGACAGACAGACACAAGACACACACATAAAAAGACATAAACAACCCTTAGCCCGTTATTATAAGTCACTAGTTGGCTTTCCCCGTCCAGCCGGTCATTGCTCACCTGCACTGCAGCCCCCCCCCCCCTCTTATATGTTATGGATGACTTACCCTGGGACATCCGCTTTGTAACCGCATCCTTGTGATCCTAGCTGTGATACAGGGCTTCGCTCGGTCTTTGTCAATATACATCATAGAGCTTACGGTCTGTCCCCGTCTTCACACAATTCTCTGTTTCTGTCCCGTTTGTATGTCAGCTCCATGTTTTCGTGTTCAGCATGGTTATTTACCTCCCTGTGACAACTTTCAAGCTTGTAGCTTAAAGTTTGCAAAAAATTGACAAATTCTTCGATTGATGTTAAGTGCCTAAAGATAGCGGCCGCCCCTTTTCGAAGAGTATGCGTGCAAAGTTTGGTCTGGAATAATTTAGATGTAAAGATTTCTGTTCGAAACGTTATCACCGACTTTGCCTTATTTCTATAGCAAAACATACATGCATAGACAGATATAGACAGGTGTGCAGACGATGGGCTTTTTGTGAACTGTGCTAATCCAGAGCAGAATTTCTACGTGGCTAACGCTTTGTTAGGATTTGTAACGTTCGAAAATATATTGCTGAGCTAAATTGACACTGATGGCATCACTTTAATTTCATTATCATTATTAGATCCATTCAATGATGGAGGTGTTCAGTGGCCGTATTCATCAACGAACCCCGAGGGTTAAACTAACCCTGGAGGGTTAGTTTAACCCTGGAAAGCGTTTAACCCGTATTCATGAAACACAGGGTAGGCTCAACCCTGAGGGTTAAATCTAACCTTGAGGGTTAATTTTACCCCGAAAGCGACTAACCCGTATTCATCAACGAACCGTGAGGGTTAAACTAACTCTGGAGGGTTAAACTTATGTGATTCATCAGGGTTAATTTAACCCTAGCTCAGAGCAAGGTTAACTCTACCCTAACACTTCATACAAACATTTACTCGCATCTAATAGTTTATGGAAAATGATCAACGAGTATTGTAGTATTTAGTATTGGTTGTTATATAGTATTTAGTTTCGACTTCGTTTTATGTTCATATTCGAAGTACAAGAAACACTGACTTCGCGAGAAATAGAATTCTAGCTTTGGTGACAAATTGCGACGAGGAAAAATGGCATTCCACTCTGACAAGTGCGAAAACAGAAGAACCCCTTTATAATAACACGCATTGACCCCTAAAAGAGTAGCACAAGTCCGGTATAAAACGAACTGCACAAAAGTAGAACTTACACTGCACAATTGCACACATGAAAATAAACTCATGCTGTAAGATTGGATGCTGCACAAGTATGCTAGAGATGTATTATAAAAACTAGTGTTAGAAGCTAATTCGTTGACTATACTACTATAACAGTGAAAGAATAAAAGTACAAAGTGAATTTAGCCCGTACTTAGGCATACTGTGATTTGAGTTTGCACAGCGCACGCGTAACTGACGCCTTAACCCTCCAGGGTTAGTTTAACCCTCAGGGTTGATGAATACGGCCACGGGTTCGTTGATCGATACGGGTAGATCGCGTTCCGTGGTAAACCCTAGTCTATGGTTGATGAATACGGCCAATGAACCCTGAGGGTTAAACTAACCCTGGAGGGTAAGCTTAACCCTCAGGGTTCGTTGATGAATACGGCCACAGAAGGAATTTGGAATAAGCTTGAAGGTAAATATCATTCCGCACCGAGGACGGGTGTGATTGGATTTCATGGCTTATTACTATAACAAGATTTTCATGATGAGCCAATTCAAATTTAGTTAATGTAGTTTGATATCTTTTGATACCTTCACATTACATAGATTAGGCTGTCAACTAAGTTTTTCGCTTATTGATATTCGCGCGCTCAATTTGATATAGTATAGAAAGCCATGTGAGCTATGTGAGCTATGAACTGCCACAAATCGCTCGCTTTCTGATGACAAAATTGAAAAAATCGACAATTTTTCGTATACTGATGAAATTCGAGAATTCGTGGGAGCTTCAGGTGAAACTGAAGCCCTTCTTAACCTATATCATGCACAACAGTCAGGATGTGTGCATATTTGTTGCTAGAAGTCGACTCACCTAGCGCAGTAAGGAAGAAATGGAGTTAGGCAACTCAAGATTTGGCGTCCTCACAAAGTCGAACGAGCCGCTGTACGCAAAGCTGCTTGGGGACAAACGTCAATCACTAAGGAATCGAAGTTTCAGAATTCGCCAAAACTTTGCATGTTGAGGTTACCCTGCCGAATACGAATATCATATTCACTCATCAAATTAACGCCTCTGTGCTTGTTTAGCGTGAAACCACATTACTAAACCTACTGTAAACCTAGAAAAAAGCTCTTACGAAGCGAAACCAAAGTCGTTTTCGTGATTAGCATGTCAGATAAGTCACCTATGCAATGTTTCAGCTAAATTTGTGAATTTAAATTAATGTATAATTTTTCTCCTCAGGCCCTGACCAGACTTCGCTAAAAGCGCTCAAAAGCGCTCAAAAGCGCTCAAAAGCGCCCAGATTTCTATGGTGTCTCTTCACTTTCTCGTGTGAGAAGAGATGAGAGAGAGAGTAAGGAGAGGTTAGAGAAGTTTGGGCGCTTTTGGGCGCTGTTGAGCGCTTTTGAGCGAAGTTTGGCCAGGGCCTCATACCATATACCTACCGTAACCCTCACTGCGACTTCATAATTTTGAACTGTGGTTGAGCTTGTAGCTTACCTTACGACCTATATGATGGGAATTTGAGTGCGTCACATGCAAAGAGAGAGAAGTTATAAAAGTAGTTGCAAAATTTAGTTAAAAATCTAATAAATCATCAGCCACACGAGCTGCTTACTTATTCTTGAGTTGGTGAGCTCTATCAATTCACTCCTCAGATTTCTCATATTCTTCTTTTTGATCACTTTAATGAAAACTACAAGAAGGTTCGAACCAGCGAACAACGAAGTAGGCATGACCGGCCTAACTCTCTTTGATACCAATAAAGAGTTAGGCGTTCGCGTATAATTTGTGTTGCTTTTTGACTCTCGTCTTTTTGACAGTAATATCGTTATATGGTACTGATGTTAGGTTGGCTGATGTATATTCATTCGCTTTTGCGGCCAAATACTGCGGCAAATTAATGTCCAGTTTTTGGTAATTCTGGAAAGTGTACTCCAATGAGAATGCTAGATTGTGGTTGATTAGGATTTATTTCCCTACTAGCTGGCTTACCCGGCTCCGCCGTATGTTCCGAATAGAAAATCCCATTTCTTAACCGATCCGGACCAAACTTGGCACACACACACTTCGGGCCCCGGCGGGTGTCATAGTCCACTTTTCGTTATCGATCGATGCCGAAAAGTAGCCTATGACACCCGCCGGGGCCCGAAGTGTATGTGTGCTAAGTTTGGTCCCGATCGGTTCAGAAATAAAATTTTCTATTCGGAACATACGTAAGACAGACAGACAGACATACATACAGACAAACAGACATTCAGCTTTATATATAAGATGAAGAAAAGGCGCAAAGAAGTGCCCGTTTGATCATAAATTCTTGAAATGGCAGAACAATTATCATTGTTATCTGCTGAATAGAGGAAACTCCGTGTATACAGATACCAAATTAATTATCTCCACGTTCACCACATCATCAAAGCTTGGTAAAAAAAATTAGCTTTTGGAAATTTAGCCGTATTGGGGCATACTTTCTCTACTGACAGCAAAAAGTCTTGATTATGAAATGTGATGGTAGAAGCTTTGGGCTACTTCCCCTCACGGATAGAAAACCAAGTTTACTTTAAGGAATTCAATTGCCAAAACCAAAATATCATGGGCTGATAATCTCGGAAAGTGATTAGGTCACAATTACGGCGTCTATATATGCTCCATATATGCGTCCAATTCATATTCCATGGATTGTGTTCTTAAGGTAGACAGTGTGATTTTATGAGGAATCTGGCCCCGCACATTGTCAGAAACGTCAGCTTCAGTCCGATTTTCTGGACGCCGTTCAGTTGACATCGATGAACGTCGTGATTCGGTACCCACAGTCCAATTTTATTACGGCAATCTTTACTCGGAATCCAGTCTATTGTTAGTGTTTCTCAAAGGCAACACACTACAGATAAGAAAGGATTTTAGAGATGTGCCGCATAGTATAGGTTTTGTGCGCTAATTTTCATATCACGTTTGGAGTAGTAATATGGAGCTACAAATCCAGAAAAAACTTCAAGTTGGTGATTCAAAAATCGAATTTGACTTCTAAAACCCACGTAAACCGATATTGCGCTTCTCTTTCTTAGAATCAATAGCATCCTTTTGCACTTAGTAGCTATACTTTTTTGCTGGAAGGATATGTAAGACATGCGCTCTAGCACCCTTTGGAAACTAGACGATGCTTTATGTCGCAAAGTTCAGGTTGTTCAATATAATAGCTTGATTGCTGCAACCTAAACCTTAGTTCTAGAGATTCATCGAGAGCAGCTCCACTTATATTGGGTTGTAAAGAAAGTTCTCGGGCACTTTCGGAAATTTCATTTTCAAACATTTTTTCGGCGCTCGGTAGGATCTTCACACCAAGTTTTTTATACTGTTTAGTAGCGGGAAACCTGAAGTTTTCAATACACCTTCTGACTTTTATCGATGCCAAGACGTGTCTGATCTGCACATCAAGAAGTGAGATCTTTTAACCACAAAAATTTCACAATTTTTCTTCCCACGGCCATTTTTTTGTGCAATTCAAAGAATTTCGTCCAAATCATAAGCGATTGGATTGAGAAGCCTGTTAACTTCTGGCCTGCAGCTGCACTCGAGTTTTGCGATTTGCGCATAGAAATTACAAGCTGTCGAACTTGCCTCTGACTGCAACTCTTTTCGCGGCTGGCGTCGCTTCTGCGGGGACCGCCACGCCTGTATGATAAGTGCAAAAGATGTGCGAGGCATCACCCCACCAATGTTGCCAGTAATCAAAGATTTGGTCCTTTCTGTGCAGAAACTAGAAGACTTGAAAGTCACTTACTTGAAACATGGTGCATTTTTGGGGGCAAAAAATGGTCGATTTTTCAAACTTTCTGGGAAAATTCCTTTGCAGCTGGTCCTTCAAAAACATGAGTGTTCCCCATAACAGCCCCAGCAACCTCTATATAACTACAGCATCTCGGCTTTCCAGCTCTCATCCTGCCTGAGATAATCCTGCACAAATAGACCACTTTTTGCGACGACCTTTTTCCCTTCTGCGCATGCTGGTGGACCGCAGTAAGTTGCTGAGAAGCCAGCAAGACAAATATATGTTGTGGACAAAATTGTCTTTGCAATGGGGTTTGTAGCTTTAAAGAAGAATCAATCTGCTTGAAGTTACAGCGATTTGAAAGAAATTTTCGAGTGCCCGGGAACTTTCTTTACAACCTAATAGAAGACGAATATGAAGATGCTAAGTGTAGGGATGAAAGAACATATTATAACAGAATCGGAAAAGCTTACCATTTCTCCAATAGAAACCAAAGTTAATCGACGGTGAAGGCCTCAACATCATGAACTATACCAACTGAAAAACGACACTGCTTTAGAAAAAGTTGAGGATCCTGGAGTTTTGCGGGGAAACCTAAGTTATCTATGTACAGGAGGTCTCAATTCCGAATGATTGACTTTGAATTAGTTTGGCCAGTATGGAAGATGTTTCTGGTGAGAAGACGGAATTGTAACTTAATTTCAATTTCATATTTCTGAAAAAGACGGGATGAAACGTTAAGCTCTCATCAACAAAGTACTAACCATGCCAGACTTAGCATACAACTCAAGATTTAACATCGAGTCTACGGAAGGAAAGAAAATTTGGAGGCAGTTTGAGCAATCTCAAGCATGAGTCCGCGATCTTTTTTGTTGTGACAACTAGTGAACCAGTCATCAAAAGGTGTTATTTGGAAGAGCTTTCGCTTCGGGACCCGTCGCGGTTTCCCGCTATTGGAAGATTTTTGAACTGAGGTAACGATTTTTTATATATTAGATAAGAATCTGGGGCGCTATTCCACATAAGTTGACCCAAAAAATGAAGATCGTGAATATCGCTAAAACTTCGTCTAGGGAGGTTATTTGGTACGCTGAGCACGAATATGATGTTTATTTCGTGCGACAGTGCCATCCGGTGGAGTTACGGTAGGATTACGGTAGGGGGTCAAAATCACGGATTTGCCCGAAACTTGGCCTAGAGGGGTTATTCGGCCCGCTGACGCAGAATATCACATTGGTTTCGTACTGTAGTGTCATCTTCTCGAGTTACGGTGGGTATACGGTAGGGGGTCAAAATCTCGAAATTCGCTGCAACTTTGCACAGAGGGGTTATTCGACATGCTGATTAGAAATGTCACACTTTTTCCGCACGAAAACGTCTCCCTGCATGGTTACAGTAGGTTTACGGTAGGGGTCAAAATCACAAATCGGCAAATGTATCTTTCCCCTGTACTTTGCTTAGGCAAAAGCCGCAGCAGAGTGTGTAGCGCGCGGCGGTGGTCATGTGTGCAAAGCTTCACGATCATCCAAATCGCCACACACCCGTTTCGGGATGAACTATGTTTTACACCCGTCACCGTGTATCTACCGTAACCCGATAAAATGACGCTACGGTTCAAAACCAATGTGATATTAGGCATTAGCGGGTCGAATAACCCCTCTGGGCCAAATTTCGGGCAAATCCGTGATTTTGACCCCCTACCGTAATCCTACCGTAACTCCACCGGATGGCGCTGTCGCACGAAATAAACATCATATTCGTGTTCAGCGTACCAAATAACCCCCCTAGACGAAGTTTTAGCGAGATTCACGATTTTCATTTTTTGGGTCAACTTATGTGGAATAGTACCGAATCTGGTAATCTTTACCTCTCTATTGAAACAGATGTAAGATCTTTTCAGAGATACGAAAACAAGAATTATCTTACAAGTGAAGTCTTTAATTCGACATAGTCTTTGCGGAGAAGATGCATACATATAATCAAGAGGTTGCACACTGATTATAGAAGATTTTTTATGACTGCTGACGTTAGTGGTTAAGCTCTAGGCATTTGTTGCGCTTAGGTGAGTGTAAGCCTGGTAGTTCGCTGTAGAACCTAAGCTAAATCGCTACACATTTGTAGCGTACAGGCCAGATTACAGGAACAGCGTATAAGTGTAAGGCTTTGAGTGTGAGGCTACAAACATTCGATTAGAAGATGGTGTT